ATTGTTCAGGGTCCCCAACTGAATGCAGAAACAAACTCACACACACAGATAATAGAAAATTCCACACAAGCCACATCAGCAATGCAACAAAATGTGCAATGTGTGCTCCAAGATATTCCAAAATGTAGCACAAAATTACTGCAAACTGCACGCTGGCAAGGGTGACCTAAACTTTAAAAATCCAAAAAGTTAGAGGGCCTGATGTTTCATGTCAGCAGCATCTTTCTCACTTTTGCCTTTGAGAAAGATTTCAGCTACCGGTACAATTAAAATGTTAGGCCCTCTAACTTTTTCAATTTGTGCTTGAAAAACCTTAGAAAGGGAAAATGTTAAGAACCCACCTCCTCCATTTTGAACAAGTCCAATTTAGGCCGAGTCTCCTCTTCCCTGCGTCGTTTCTTCCCGCTTTTCCGAACAGAAGGGTGCGAGTGACATCTCTGTGGTACCACCCCTCTGTCCAGTTCCGAGTCTGTGCTCCCAGTGAACGAGCACACCGACCCTGAGCTCTCTGATGCCTTATCTTCTGAGAAGGAGCGGCTGTAGGCACGAGGCGAGAGCACGGGCCTGAAAGTAGCGTGCTCCAGCCAGTAGGGGATCCCCGAGTTGGTGCCATCCCAGGAGGCTGAGGAGGTCGGACGCGGGATGGGCGATTCTGGCGGTGTGGAGAACTCATTGACTGAGGGGTTCAAGCCTGAGCTGCCAGGGATTCCAGCAAGTCCGCCACTCCCTGCCTTCTGGTGTGAGCTGTGCAGCTGTGTCTGGTGGGTGTCGCATTTCCGCCGACTCTGAACAGGAGCTCGCCAGATTTTGGAAGAGCGTGGTCTCCACTTGCGCTCATTGACCTCACCCGCGGAGAGGGATCGGCAGTGTCTCTTCTTAGGGGGAGCTGGCGTGATTGCAGACACATCAGTGATGTTACTCTCACTTTCTAGCGTCTTGCTTGGTGCAGCACTCTGGGGTGTGGTAGGGTGCGATCTGTTTGGACGCTCTGGGGTGAGCTTTTCTTGACTGATTACCTGTGGGGTGCCTTTATTTCCTGTAACTACAGAAAAACAGACCAAATTAAATGTTGTTCACTTTCCTCATTTGTGTAAATTTATGCGTACATGAACATGCACAAAATAATGTCATACAATGTGGTTTTTAACTCGGTGTTTAATATTGGTAAGGAAATGAGGAGCAATAAAGGTCTGTAATGAAGGTAATGACCATGTCCCTATTGTACTGCTCCCACAAAGTAGTTAACCTCAATTTGGGAAGTTTTGTTCTACATGTACATACATGTACGGTACATCGTGTATACTTTGATGTCAACGTACAATGCACGTTAATTCTGAACATGCATAGGAATTTTGTACACAGTTCACTTTGTATTCTACAGTAAATAACTTCCTGACTTGCATACATGTTCATGTAAAGATTCAATTTTCCCCTCGCATCATCTAAAATGTCGTACTCTGAGGAACCTGATAATCTCTTGTCAATTCTTTCCAGCAGCTTAAAAAAAAAAAGCACTTCCTTACGACTCGGGGCAATCTCTCCCATTAGTGAATCAATGCCCATCTACATGTACACAGCACTCTGTCAACCTCAGTTATTTTTATGTCTTGAAGCAGTTTTCGGAGACAGCACTAAATGGAGGCAATGTGGGCCTGCAACACAATGATGCCGGGCATGTACACATACAATTGTAAATCCAGTAAATCAGTTTTAAATTATCTCAACTGCTCAAGAGGCTCTTGCGTTCACTTTTGGCCACTTTGCATACAGTGCAAAATTGGTGCTGGTGATGTCAGCATTGTGTTAGCATTGGCCGACAAAGCCAGAATTAGCCAAACCCGGCCAATGAAAGAAGTACATCTGGCCATAAACCGAGGTGTGTGTGTGTGGTGGGATTAAACTGTCACTAAAATGCAGTCCCTAAGCTTCTGTCCTTATACAGCTGTACATGTACCTTGAATCAAGCATGGTAACAACAGTCATACAATTCAGCCTAAATGTGAACCTTTGTAACATCAATCCCATGTTGACGGAGATGATGGAAGACTTAGGCTAGTGATTGGATGAACAAGTCACAGCAATCAACTTCTTCAGCACAACTGCATGACATAAAATACGCTGAAAGCTGACACTGGTACATGCATAGGCCAGCTAATCCTGAGTTTCAAACCAAAACAAACAAACGAGATATGACAGAACCTGGACACAAGCCAAAACCTGGGGCCCAGGATATTGGCGGAACAGGCCCACTGTCACAAGCCTGCTGCGATATGAAAACTTCCACCTGACTACAAATGGGGTAACATTAAGTTGATTGTTAACTTGATTGCGTGGCTGGTGCCAGGACCTGAAGTTTGATGGTCTAACAGGTGGCAGTCAGCAAGCCTGTAGTGGAAGGACCTATTTATTCATCACATGTACATGTACTGTAGGTACAGTGCAGTGTTCGAGTCTTTACTGTAGTAGGAGATATCTGAATATACTTGTAGATATACAAGGGGTGGGAAACTGTGTGCTGGCCAGGCACATGGTGGAGGGGGAATCATAAATAGAGCCTGAAAATAAAAGGTCACACAGCGAGCTTCCGGAATCCTTGCGCGGTCTGCCTATGGGGATTTCATATTGGGCCGTCCTATCACATTCGATGATTTTGGGAAAAATAATTCCTTACTGAAACCACCCCATGAAACACTCATGTTGGAATTTTACCTCTGTCTTCCTCAAGTAATATTTTGGAAAATTCACCTGGAGATGGGTAAAAAACGAAGTTTTTGAATGACCTTTCATGTCCGACGATATCATACCGAGATGTACCCTTGTTCATGCACGTGTGTTTTCACTCGCTGCGCTTTCTTGAAAACGAGATTGTACAACCTTGCAAAGATTTATCTAACGGTACCTGCAGTCGATGGGTTCCAGATTCCGTAGAGTTGACACCATGCAGTTGTTGTCAGCAAAGGTTAGATAAAATTTTAGAATCTTTCGTATAAATAGAATATTGATATATATTTTTTTCCTTAAAAATTATCAAAATGTGCAAAATATTTTGATTTGTATTTGTTTTGGTTTTACCCACAGACTACCATAAAATTTCAAACCGTAAATATTCATCTGCATACGAGACTGCCATATTGCTCTGTTCTTCGTGTATCTTAGATTTTCGGAAGTCATGGATCAATTTTTGGCAGGATATTTCTCTTTTAGGTCAGGTAATTTTTCAGTTTCTATAAATTGATATACTAGCAAATGTTTTTCAAAGCCCTTTTTCTGAGTTGGATTTTTTAAGAAGAAACTGAAGGAAAAAATACTCCAAATTCTAAAATCTTTGCTCGTTATTTTTCCTATCCAAGGGTTCCGGAAGCGCGCTATCAGTGGTCAACTTTCAGGCTCTATAGTCACCTTGATTTCTCTCAGTTTAAAACACAATATACATTTGTAACAGGTAGAATTCATGATACAGTGTTTGTCCATTTACAAAAGGCCATTTCTCAACTTGACAGTCAACAGTTTGATGCAATTAGCCAGCCATTCTTCTTTGTTTACAGATGCGCATTCACTACCAATGCACAAATTAACTTGCACTTTAAAAGCCTTTTATATCGAATTAATCATCATTCACACACAAAAACTCGTTTCATTTTTCTTTCATCTTAAACAGTTCAAAAGTTGAATATTGTTTGAAGGACTGATGTGGCATTCTCTCCAAGTACATGTATGCCCAAAAGGGTAACTTTGTGCCCATCTCTTTGTGATGCACTTATACAGTGTACTTGTACTGGTACAGGCGTATGTGTTTAATGGTGCCAAGGAAAAGTGAAACCATGTTCCTTAGCAGTTCAGGTACAGTTCAAGTATTGGTGGAAGCAACTTGAAGGTTGCTCAATATTTCAGTGTCACTGAAAGCCAAGCAGCCAGCCACTAAAATGACTTGACTTGTCTCTCAACGTCATGACCCTGGGGAATGCCCTGTGACCCCAGCCTAGGAGCTGTCTGGACACAGAGAGGAAGTGTGAACTGCCGAGTTGGCCACCCAGAGCAACAGAGACTGGCACAAAATGCAAAACAGCATGTACAATCTGTAATGTACATGTACATGTAGTACATGTACAAATGCCCACACGTGCATGTGCATGAGCACTGTTGGATACACTTTTTTTGAGTACTCACGTACATGTACATGTATTTGCAAGGAGATTTGAACTTTCCAGTGTTTGTCCAATACACTTCACACACAAACTTGCTGCACTATGCTGTATTTAGAACTTAAACAGTTCTCATTTTAGCCACATGTGTTGCATTTCTTTGCTTCTTTTGGGATATCAACAGAAAGCCACTTAAGTGCCAATGTTAGGATTAACTGGGATATGTTATTAAAACAGTTGAAATGAATATGTTGAAAATGTACCGGTACATGGGATTGGGATGCACAGAAATCTTTCCAAAACTTAGAGAGTCCTTTAAGACTGAATGCGGAATTTACATGTACATGTACATTATGTAGTTGTATAATGGTGTACATGTACTCCTGACATGCTGGCGGAATGAATGGTTGGAACCTGTACGCAAAGCGCATGTACATGTAGTAATGTGCAAAACAATCCTACAAAGCTTATAATGATAAGCCTACAGGTGTTCATCATACTTATACAATTTTGAGGTGGAAAGGGAAGAACTCATTTGGATTCGTGGCTATTCCTCAGGCAATGTGCTTTCTCCTCTTGCAACAAATTCAAGGAAAATTATGCAGTCAGTCCAAGATCTAACCACAAACATGCAGGCCTGCATACATAGAGAAATTGTTTCTTGATGTGCAGTCACGTTTAGCGACAGACTAGTACATATAGATAGCACAATATCGGCACGATGCCTGTGAAACGGTCCTACCAAGAGCAGGAAGCAAAATCAAAGCACCTTAAGGACAAAAAGAGATTTTGTGCCTCCGCACAAAGCCACAAATGTATGCAAGTAAAAGGTAGGATATTCACTAAAAGCATTTATGACGGTTCGGGTGCACACCTACCTGTGTCTGTTTTGTCTTTTCTCCCTTCTTCATCTACCCCCCCCGGATCGGTACCCTATTCCCCCTCCCCCCATCAGTACCACTCACCTGATAGAGCGACATGTTGGAAGTTTTGCTTTTGCCAAACCCTGGCCTTTGTCTTGCTGCGTGTCTGGTATGGTATCTGATATGGGGAAAAAAAATACAAAATGGAAAAACATGAACTGAAACGCTTCCACTTCCACACCCAGTACAATGGGTATGCTTGTTACATGTACAATGTACATGTATAAGCACCTTGAACACGAAACACGAGTTCAGTACTCTAACAGCGACAATTTTATCAAACGCAACATACATGTACACGTATGCTGTATAACCCACACATGCAAATGTGAGGTGTGATGGTGTACAATTTGCTAAACAGCAGCTGTTTGGTTGCAACTTGGTCTTCAAGGTTGTCCTACACTGTATACAATGAAATTGCCAACATTTGAATGAGCTCCCTTTTTCTACATCAGCACCCTTCTTTGATGTCACAGGTGCAACTGCTTCCAATTCTGTCAAGTTGAGGGGAAAAAAAACACAGACGGGTATCGCTTTGTGTTACCTTCTTGTGGGTTTTTTAAACTGTTCAGGAAACATAAATATTGAAATCAAATCTATTTTTATAAAGTGGCAATAGAGGCTGCAGCAACAGTGTCAGAATCACATACAGGAGCTGTTTCTGATCTGTAAGCAACAAGCATTTTTTTTCTTGAACAAGGAACGCATACGTACTGTACATGTAATTTGAATCAAAACTGAACAGAGAAATTTGTTTGGAATTTGTTGGACGAAAAAACCTTCAGGAAAGCCAACATGTGATCACTGGTACACCTGTACATGTACCTTGAACTCACATGCACACAGGTAATCCTGCTGCACCTCAAAGCCAACATGGAGGCTGGGAATTGTTTTTCTCCTCCACATATCAGACTCCACTATTATTGATTCAGACAGTGTGGCCTCCGCAGATGACTTCCTGGTGATCAATACGCCTTTTACTTGTACGGACCATCCCTTTAAACTTTCACTTTTCTTGCTGACATAGCTCAGGACAAATTATGCAACTGGCCAGAGATCTATACAAACACTTTGGTTACAGCAGCCCTTTCACTGCAGTTGCCAACAAACTGCAGGAACCCATTCAAACCACACACATACTGGTGTAGATGCACATCTGTATCCGCGCCTGTCCTTTAACTTCCTTTCGGTTGGCAGGGCCGGTGTGTGATAAGTGATTGGCCAAAGGGATGTTTACAGAGAAATTATTTCCAGTAAAAACAATGATTCTAAATCAACTCAGTTAAGGAGACAATGGCAATATCGTACATGTACTTGAAGGGTGTACATGCATGCATTAGTACATGTATGTCAGACGTGTCATGCTACTTCTATTCAGCTGCCACATTTCAAAAAAAGATGTCACAAATGAAATTCATTGTACAGTAGTTTAACATGGTGAACATGAAGGCCATTGCAACAACATGAAAAAAATCTAGCCCGTACACTTTTGATGCAGGAAAATACCAGTACAGAAATGTGCAAAAGAAATGTGACGGGGAGTAAATCAAATTACTCCTTTCACAAAAAGAATGGCCTTTGGTTGTCCACTGATACCATAGGCGGCAATAGTACTGTACATGTACAGTGTATCCTTATTTTGCCTCAGGTCCAATGTGGGTTTTCCACCTTAAAACCCACAAACCGCATTGACGCAGATGTACAATGTAACCATGGTACAATGCACATCACAAAGGACAAGGCTGCCATTTTGAGAACTTTTCTGAAGCTTCTCTTACAATTGATTGGTCCACACTTCCTATATCTTTTTTCCTGATTTCACACAAATGCAATAGCTGGTTTTATCCACTTTTTGGGGGGTCAGTCATTTTTCTCAATGATAACCAGCTGCAAATGCATAGCAGCTGCTGGACACCGGGCTCATTCATGCGGGCAACTGGAAAACAACGGACTATTCAAGAAACTTGGGAGTATGAGCTGCAGTCAATTCACAGGGCATTCACATCACTGTCACACCAGATCAAGCTTTGCAATGGGAACTGCATAAGCTGAAATTTGGAAAAACCTCTTTCTACTTTTCCACGTTGGATTACTTATGAAAATATTCATTTCTCTTTACAGCCAGCAACTTACAATGAATATAAATGTGGTGCTTAAAAATTGACCTACATTTGTAAAAAAAAAAATAAAAAATTGAAAACAAAAGCACTTTTATAACTCGGCTTCTCTGATGAACTCATTCATTTGACTGTATCAAAAAACTTCTTATATATTTATTTAAAACTTACTTTTTGATGCACGTATGCACACAGTTTTGCATAATTTTTGAATATAAAGTGAGCATTTTACATACATGGACATAAATCTTGTGATGCGATATTTAATACGTTCTGCTTTCTTCAGCAGAGGAATATCTTTTCGATTTTTTTCTGCATGGCACACAAAGCTTATATTCCATGAACCTGAGGTTCACTAGCACAGCACTCTCCAAAGACGGACGATTGTGACTGAGAAACAAGAAACCATAGTACAAATGCAGAGTGACTGCTTTCGGACAATCTGCCAACTTACATCATCAGAAAGATTGGATTTCCCAAACGCCAGGCAGAGTGATTGTCAGCTTCATTCCGCAGGATGGCAGGAAATAAATTGTGCGGCAGAATGTGCATTCACACAGGTAGCCGAGGGTGGCAGGCGTCCAGTTGCACGGCTGCCTATATCCATAATTCATCCCCACCAAGTGGAAAGTGTAAAATTTCTCTCTGGGCAGATGCTGAGTGGTAATAGGTGGCATCGAGTGCCAAGATTTGGTCCGGATGTTGCGGAGTCAGCATTGCTGTGATAATATTTTCTCTTTTTTTCTTCCCCACCCTTCTCCCCCCCCTCTCCCCCTCCCCCGGCAAGAACATACATGTGCATAGTTCAGAGTTGTCAGCATTCACACCTCATGGAATGTGTCCTGCTGTGATTAATGACTAAACGTGGAAAGATGTTCATCCAGCGATGAGCAGTGTATTATTAAAGTCTGCAACTGCCTTTGCACTATTTGTCATTCCCTACAAGTTTGTGCAGTCTACAGGCATGAGGACGGTGTCCTTTTTTATGGGTTCCACCTGAGGGAGGTTTGCTTTCCTTGTTTTGAATAATAGAAGGGATAACTCCTACTATTTTCATAATACTGTACTTACCGATACAAGTACCGTAAATGTAGTTGAATGAATGACATCATTTACATGTAAATTTAACAATACAATGCAAATACTATGTGCCTCCACGTACAGTATATCATAAATTAAGTTTCAATAAGTAAATAATGGCATTTACATACATGTACATGTCTAAGATAAAATTTTTAAAAACTTGGTAATTTTATCCCTGCTCATCACCACAGGGACAGTAAAACATTCCTTAAACCATTCCAAGATCCCTGGTGAGAACAAAGTATGTCTGTATGCACCGTAAATCCCTATGTTACTGCATCAACTTCAGGCACAAACAGTGCATTCACATCATCAATATTAGCCATCTCTGCTTTCAAATGTACTTCTTTTGTGATATACATGTATCAATCACAAATTTTTGAAGAATCTTCAAGTCCATGATCCAGAATTTTCAATTATTGGTTGATTTTTTATCTACTGGTAATAACACGATGAACCTTTTCAAAATAGCTGTAAACAAAGCTCCAAGGAGAATTTTTACACATTATTAACAGAAAGAAGGGATTATCCTTTACAGTCAATGATAATTTTGCTTAACGGCACAATGAAAATTGGTAATTTTGTGAGTGTTTACAAACACATATGTATCAGTTTTACTATACAATGCAAAAAATTATCTTCAAATAAAAGTACCCTCAATCTTGTTGGCTACATGTATCTCCAATTACACAAGTACCGGTGTATATGTACATGCATGTACAACACATTTACATGTATAATCCACGAGTTCACAGAAAACCTGTTGTATTCATGTGCATGTCAGTGCCATTTATTAGTTATAAGCAATTCTTTTATTCTGAACTATTAGAAGTGCATGTACCTGGATAATGAACCCATGATATTTTTCAAAAGCACAAAGAACAGCTTGGAATTTATTACCACCCCTGATTATCCAGTAATAAAATCATCCTATGCATACATAAAACGCTCTGTGAATCAACAGTTTGGCTTTGGACTCCCACCTCAAGAACACACCTGTATTTATTCAATTCTAAATACTCATTTCCTGGCAAAGCTTTTACTTTCTTATTCAAACACAATGCGGTGTTTTACAATGGAACATGACAAAGAACAACCGACTTGTTTAGGTTAAAATTTTCAAGTTAATCGACTTCAAGTAATAAATGCGGTAGATGCGCATCGTCTTACTGAACCCAGCCCATCCATAAAATCTCAAGTTCTTGAACCTCTGACATTTGATACTATCTGGTCTTCGGGCTTTCATCATGAGTTTTTTATTAGTCAAAGGCCAGTCATAATGGAACCCTTACTTGAGTCACAGACCTTGAAATTCACAGCTTAACAATGGCAAAACTCTTAATTACTCTCTGTGAACATGTACAGAACATGTACCAGTATCAATCAAACGAGATAACATAACAGACTCTGCTTTGCAGTTGCAAGAAGAATGGGGTGCAGAGTGGGAAATGGAATACACGTATGCAATATGCTGCTCGATGGATAACTTAAGCTGTTTGTCAACTCAGGGTCTTTCTGCTAAGAATGATTTATACTCTAAGATGACAAAAGCATGACCTTTTCAGATTAAGTAGTTAAGTGCATGAACGACACCTATTCAACTGGTTTCATACTGCAAATGAATAATGTGCCGCGAAAGTATGTACAGTATGTACGTACCGGTACATGTACACTGCGCAAAGCCTAGTGTGGATCACAGTGCCAAGTATAATGTTGCGCTGTACATGCCAAAAATTAAACAAAAAACATAAAAAAAGAAGGACGATGACCAAAAAAAGGACTGACTTGACATCAAACGATGATGCACAAATGGAGTTTCTATGTACTTTCTGCATCCAAAACCTGTGATGCAAACGTACCGGTGTGTAAGATGTATAAAAAGAATGTCAGTCCCTGTGACAGGGGACACGCATGCACACACGTACAAGTACCCGCATGTGTGGTAATACACTATGCAATACAAGGACAATTTATCAGGAGTACTCCATCTTTCATGCATATTACATAATTACAATATCTAGGGACATGAACAATGTTGCAAAATTTTACCAACAGATGTTATCATATCACATGCTTTCATAATAAGCACACTACATGTACATGTAACAGGATACCTGTTCCAAACGGAGGATGGATGATGGATCATTACTGATGGATACATACATACATGTATGTGACCTGCTTTGCAAAAATGAGTCACTAGTCACCACAGCCACTTTGAGTTAAAGGCCTTTGCATCAGGAATCCTCAACATTTTAAAATCTACACATTTTCACCTTACCAAATTGAGTAAAACACATCCAAAAAATGGGTTCAATTTCCTTAATCCAATATACAGTACAACTCAGAAGTGATTCCGGTGACTTGCTACTCATTTTCAGAATGGGTCACATATGGCCCACCTGTACAATAACTCAGTTTGTCTTGATTTACATTAACCTAAAAATTTATCATGCACATGCACATGTACAATGTACAGTATAATTCGTACACACTTAATGTATATATGTACATGTACATGTATATATACACTATGTATACAACCTTTCAGTGTGCATAACAATACATCTGTGTATTTAATAAATTTTCTCTGCCTGGGACAAGTAAGTGGGCCCACAAAGTTCTTTTTGTGCACAGGCAATTAGCATTTATGCAAAATCTCCAGGGTGCGACCTGCAACAGAAAGCATGGGTCCTATTGCGTGCACACAGGCTGGGGTAAGACACCTACATGTAGTACCTTCCATCATACAATCACAGCCTCACACTCAAATAGTTGTGAGTGTAGCAGCCAGCAAACTGTCCACAACGTTGCAGACCAATGCATAATATTCAGCCCTCAGAATGGCGAACAGGACTCCCTGATCTTGACGATGCGGCCTGTAAACTTACCACTAGTTACAATTATGTTGATTCATGCGAGAGAAGAAATATTTATGCATCTATAAAGTATAATCTTCTTGCAAATACTGTTTTTCATAATTCTTTTCAGTAATTCAATAATTCTCTTTAAAGTCACACTGTACAGATCTTTTTTGAGCAACATGTATTTTGGTGTACGTACAGTGTAAGCTTCGTACACAAACATGTATACCGTCCAAGGCTTGTATGAGCATTTAATGCAACATGTTTGCCTTGTATGTACCTCCTTCACAAATGCATGGAACCATTCCCTCTCCCATCCCCGCTATGGTGAGTCCTGTGGTGTACATCTCATTCTTGGGCTTTCAATGCACCGTCGAATGACGGATGAATAATCCCGCCAACCTTTCTGTGCTGTTGAACTGCCTCTTGATGATGCCATCTGGAACAATATCTAAATCAGTCACGCTACCACTATCAATAATCAATTGAATACCACAGTAATAATAACCCTCCTTGCACTGGTAGCTCCCCAGTTATGACGACTACAACATTCATGTTTCTGCGAGTAAATGCAGCTTACTAACATTAGAAGAGGGAGTGTTCACTGCTATAGACAAAGCAATCAGAAGATTCTCTGATAAGCGAGAACCTTTAAACTACATGTGCACCTGCCGGGTGAAACTAAATATGGAAGCGGTAGGCCATGTACCTTTATTGCAAGTGCAATAAAAGTACATATTGCCAGTACACGGTACATGTACTTGAATGTATAGGGGGGAAGAACCCTAAATCATTGTGCAACAATGAAAACTGTATGTACATGTAATACACATGCACTAGTTGTTACTTTGTTCCACATTTTAAATGTGTGTAGTTGCTGGAACATTGCAAGACTGAATCTACAAAATTTAACACCATCGACACATTCTTTGAGCTGAACGATAAAATGTGCACGTAAAATTATACATCGGAGCCCCACGCACAGCATTAGCAGCTGCACTTTCTGGTTCCCCGTCTATCATGAGCCAAAGAACAAGGACCCAAGCATGGGTCTCTGGAGGATTTGAAAACTTAAATTGGGGTCACAAGTTACAAAGTGCAAAGAATACTTACAATTTCTGCAAACTTCACATCGTCCAGCGACTGATTCTGCAGCTTTTCCGTGATCACCGTCACCATATTAAAGTTGATGCGGCTAGCAACAAGAATATCTACAAGTCCAGACCCAGGTTTGGCAGGCCCGCCAGGCAGACAACAATTGCTGCTAAACATGTACAAATGTAATCAGCTGGAGACAACTCCACAACAGGCCACACTAAAAACAAAGAGGGAGGAGGAACAAGTGTTAGGTGCACTGGCAGCCCCCGCTGGTAAAATGGGCTCTGTGGTCACCCAGAGGAGCTTCCATGGGGGAGAGACCAACCCTTGGGAGTTGTAGAATCCACACTTTTTCCACGCTGACTCCTACGTAGCTGCAGCGACTGAGCCACTGGTGCAGACAGCTGCGTGAAGCTGGGGCCCCCACCTCTACTGCATCATCCCCTGTAAAGATGGAAAGGTAGAAACAGAGACAAGCCAGGTGAGCCTAGGTTAATAGCACAGGCAACTGGGTGCCACAAGTTCACCTTGGTTTATACCCGAAACAAATTGTGTTTGCAAAGTTACTGAAAATTTGAGTGCTTGCCAGCTGCAAGCATGATAAGCTAATGAAACGTTAAGAGCTTAACAAATGCAAGTTTATTTTAAAACACTGACGGGTCATTCTATAAACTTCGGATCCAATTTTTTTGAGTATACCTGTCACATCTGACACCGAATTTTATAAGTTTGGAATACATTCTTTAATTTCCAAGAGTAATTAAGTAATGCAAATTCTTTGCCCAAAAGTTAAAATAGTTTGCAGTCGATTTCAGTGATATTTCTGTATCACATTAAATCAGTCAGGTGTAACAGGGTAAAAACAGAGTCACACTTTGGACCAGGACTTCATCCAATGACCCTGCTGCCAGCAAGAATAATCTACAGTGTCACTTTCATGCCACCATTTCCTCATCATGTACAGGTACATGTATGACCATGTAATTATTTTTTGAGGAATTAAAAACTGAAAAGTAAAATGGCAGCTCTGAGCAGAAAAAGAAAAAACTTGAGACAAGACTGATCCGATGGGGCATTTCAAATAAAAGTTTGAAGGTGACTTGACCTGGTTTGTTTGGAGCACTTATCTGGACTACAATAACAGACAACTGCCTGGAACTGGCATTCTGCAAGGCTGAAGAGGGAGAAGTCAGCTGCAGAATGTTTTGGTATTTATCATGTCAATAATTCAGTGGACATGGTAATTGACCATGGCTTGATTCATTGAGATGCCAGAGGTCCCTGGCAGAGGGGGTCAACAAATGCAGCTAATACTTTCTGATTTTTCTCACATGTTATACATGTACATTTAGTAATATTCATCAAGAACCCAAGGCTGTCTACAAGACCGATTTTTTTTTTCACAAAATGACATGAATCTCAATAATATGTGGTCAGTATGGATTAAAAAAGGTTGATGCTACATTTTAAGGCAAGTTGTTGACACAACTTAAACTACCGGCTTTATGTGTTTGCGAAAGTAAAAGGGTGTATTATTGTTATTTGTGATGACCTAGGACTACATGTAGATACACCTACAAATACATGTACATGTATATACATGTACATACATGTACATGTACGTACATGTACATACAGTGTTCATACAAAAAGTCATTCTTGACACTACTTGACATATAAACAACACACTTCAATTACAAATCAGGATTCCATGCAGTTTAGTTCCGTGTCTCCATGGTTGGGTTCTGTTTGAACACCTCAGCTTAGAATTGAATAACCATAAAACCCTGGGATAAAACCAACACTGGCAGCATATGGATTTTTTCTCCCAGACGACCATGAGAAGTGTGTGGGCAGCTCTGTGGAGCAGGAACGCACAGATCTGTGGGATAGAAATGGCCCAAACCTTTGTCCTGTTAGTGCAGCATGCGCAGACCTCTCCAGCATATTTGTTCTGCTTGCCTGACCTGTGTACTGCTGGGCTCGCTGCAAGCTGCACAGAATAATACCAGTGTATTTTCCTTTCCAAGCACTGCAATTTCGGTTAACAAAAACCCTTTCAGTGGTTCTTTGCAGCCCATTAGGTGAAGACTAAAAGCAACGGTGCAACCAGCTGCACCAATAATTCATTTTGTATTTGGACAATGATAACTGGTCTTCTGTCCTGTCTCTGCAATCCCAAATGCAAGGCTTAAAACACAAATTATGATTCTTGAACACGTTCTGTATTTTCACGTTGTAAAAAAGAGGCTACTTTCATACTTTCCATAATGCAGGTACCGGTACATCAATTCTGTTTTACATAAACTGTCAAATGGAAGGTAAAATAAAATCATGGTCTCTTGCGTTAATGTTCTATTTGTGCTCTACTTGACGTTAACTGAAACAGAGTTTTTGAGGGAAGCTGCAATGTACTCAGTGGATGTTCTGATGTACAACACATGTATGTGGTTTTTACCCCATCGAGACAAAACTGTGCATTTTTCTGAACTCATTGTATGAACACATACATAACAAAATACCTTAAGCACAAACCTACTTTCTGATCGGAGTACATGTAGGACATCAGTAGGTATTGCTATGAGTAAATTAAAATAAGGCAGGGCTTTCATGTACACATAATACACTGTTTCAGTAACCACACATGTTGCATTTAATATATTCGTAGTGGCTGCACTTGAGCTTAAATTCAAATCTTAAAAAGAGTACTATTTACATTTTTTCCTGTACAGCTTTCTCTTTACTGGAGGGCATACTGGGCACTCACTTGAGTTTGGTATTATTTTTATACCGATGCTAGAATCCCTACAAAAGTACAGCAGCATTATGGCCACACTTCTTAAGTCCTACCCTCCAGCAGCAAGGTTTATTCTACCCACAAAACCTCTCCAAGCACCCAGCTGCCATCAGCGCGACCCTTTAATCCTGCAAGGATGCTGGCAAGCCTAAAAAACAGCAACATGACCTGGACAATGCAGGCTTTAACACATGTGGGGGGAACAAATGTTTTTGAAGCTGCTGGTTGGGTGTGTTGGCAATCAAGAAGGCCATTTGACTGGTACCCAGTATCTAGGCAAGCAGTGTGCATCATGCTCTGTGATAGCAATATCATGGTTGTAATAGATAGCACATGGTTTAATGGCAACTGTATGCTTCTACATGTACATGTATCATTAAACCTGGGCAAACCAATTGACAACTGTTTCTTGTCACAACATTGTATTTTTAGTGGACAAGAAGGTCTGAAGTTCTTATTTGATTTTCTTAGGAACCAATTTATTGACCAATTAAAACTCACCACGAGGCAAACACCTCTCCTCTGCTCTTCCTGATTAAATATAGAGGCAGCCTTCAAAGTGCCTAGTTCCAATCAATACATTCTTTGCTAAGTTCTGTACATGCACATGTATGCATCTGAAGGATATATACATGTAGTTTTTAATATGCAACAATGGAAAGTCAAACCTAAGCTGTCCCTGAACCTTTTCAGTAAAGAAGAGAGTGGGAATGGATCACTAATGAAGCTTATATTACCTTGATGTTCAATTAACATGACAAAACCGTTTTCTGTGATGTACAAGTTCCTCTTACAATACACGTGGAACACATGAGGTGATTTCTTTTTTGACATGGGCAAAATAATCCTCAACCTTTCAAGCACCTTCATACAGAATGAGGCATCATGCATTTCATGTCGAAAATGGACGTCTGCATACTGTTCATGCATTCAAAGCACTAGGATTTTAATACATGTAACATGTTGGCATAGATTCCCCCTTATGAAATACAAACCAAGAATTGAAATTAAATGTACATGTACCACACCTAGGCCTTGTATACTGCTGTGAAATACGATAAATGCGCATTGTAAAACAATTCTCCAATTACAATGGGACCAACTGTCATATGGGAGGTTGCTAATTTAGTTTTGTGTGCTATAAATATGTACATGTACCTAAAGGGTACATGTACATATTTGTACTGTACGATCCTTGTGTAAATTATCCATTGTACCTACATGTATACTACTGTAGAACACTGTGGGCTATTAAGGGGCCATAATGGTATGACGGACATGTACATGTACATCTACATTGTACAGTTCAGTACATGCAGGTGCATGTACATGTACATGCACCTGTATCTATTGTGTGCCTGGCTACTGTGCTTAGTAGTAGGGTGTGTGTTTATGAATACATGAGGTATAGGCCTAGTATGGATTTGTATTGAACGGCTAAAGGGAATTCAGACAAATGTATGCATGTTGGCTGTTTGTATACCATACACAGTGGCCAGTATAGTCCTTGTACACTACAAAATATTTTGCCCCTAACTTGTACGTCAGAGTGTACACTGCGGTCATGTAAATTTCCACCAAACCTGGGGACAATGTTCCGGAACTATTCCACAAATATCCAATGCAAGCTCATCACTTCAAACATGTGGATCAGTATTAAATGTTGATCGTGGGATTTAAATGGTAAACTTAACTGATGTCGCACACTCTTCATGAATCTTTAACGCATGTCCCCAATAAATTGGGAATGCACATAAAAATTTACGTTTATGGCCCATATAACTATAGTAAAGTTTTCAGCCACATGCCATTCAAAATCAGCGATTTTTACAAATGCAATCCTTCATCCCTTTAATTAAAATTACCCAGAGGCATAAGCTGGTACAAATTAAGGTACCCGGTACCATACACTGTAGTGTGGGATATTTTATGCAGTCTCTATGCAGTGAGCTCATGTGAGAGGGCCAGTGATGATGGTTGGCATGTATGTTTGGACATATACATGTACACCAAATCATCTCGACTGTCATGTTAACACAAAGTTAACAAAATGTGTAGTCAGCAGTGAACATCTGAACATGCAGATTCGTGCTTATATTTAAAAAGCTGCTACACTTGTAATGAACATTACTTCTCCAAGAATATACCAGCTCCAGTATATCATTGGGAAAATTAAAGTTTTTCAGATAACGACTTGTCTTGAAGCTATCGTTCACTTCAACCATTTACCACTTCACCTATTTGCCGCTACGCCCATACCATTTCTCCCTTTAGTTTTAGACTTGACAAATAAGAATTAAAATATGATATAACCAATGTTCCCAACCACCTCCTCCATCTTACTGCCAATTACAAAGTTACAAAGCATCCTTCTATTCGCAGAACAAAGGTAGCACATGCACAAAATAAAAAATGGGCAAAGTGGCGAATGATGTGGTAACTAGGCAAAGTGGTCACAGGGCAAAATGGTTGCACGTGAAGTGGTTAGTGCCCACTGGACAAAGTGACCAAAATCTGCCTCAACTTCAAGTGATGCAGTATTTTGGAACAAAGTTTTAGTTACATGTACAACTTACTGCTAACAAAATTTCAACACCTTCCCACAACACACACACACTAATGAGACAAGTGAGGCCCTAGGCCTTGCTGCTAAAAAGTGTTCACAACTCCACTGCTGAACAAAAACTCACTTTTTAGGCCTACATAAACCTACTGTACCTCACAAGTACATGATGTAACTTTATTAGGCCTACATTACATGCAAAGTCTGTACATTGCTGCTTCAACAAAAAAATCTAGCAATATGATGAGGCCGTTCTTGTCAGGCTAAGGCAAACCAAAATAACTACTCTTCATTATATAAACAGCATGAACGCAAAAGGGGAACAATGAATATGTGAAAGTCTGAGCTGAAGTCGCATGGGAAATTTGACATAGACACTCATGACCCAACATACATACATGTACATGACAAGCGACAAACATGCCATTACTTTCTAAGTAGGCTACATGTACATGCACTGTAGTACGTACTGTACATGTAGACACGTACAGTGTACATGTACATTTTTGGAAACATGACACATTGAAAGAGACCCATATCTGCACGGTCGTTCTGAACTAAAAAGACAAATCTATGATAGATAGAAATCATATCAAACGTTGACAGCAAGCGTCGAATAAGAGCACAACTGAGGAATTTTACCTCCATTTTGTCAATTCCAGCCATTTTCGGTCTACTTCTTACTCGCACGATATCCAGGCGGCAAGTGGCCAACTGCTCTTTCACTGCACTGTGCAAAAAGCGTACACGTCCAAATTGTAGGCTAGGCCTGGACTGCACAGCTGCGTGTGTATGAATGGACATCCAAGACTCGAGGACTTCTGAATAGCAAAACATAAATCGGTCTACGAAAATCACTTCATTTGAGGGTGATCATGTAAGCTCATATTCACACATTATTGCTTAAAATATGCTAAGAATGTTCTCCAGTTTTCATAGCGACAATAACATTCAATATAAACATGACAATTATTCCTGTTCAACGGAAAAAGCGTTGAATATCTAAATTCTCATGAAGAATTCCCCTATTTCACAATGGTCGGGTCTTCCCCAACTGACGTCAGAATTGTTGTCCAATGATTTAATGGGTTGTAAAAGCAGGTTCATCGGATCCTCTAGGTACTTGTAAGCACAACGTGCAGACGGCCCGGGCGTACACGTACGTGTGCGCACACCCATGGTGGCCGATATTTCAATCACATTCCTTATTTGAGTGCATATTATTTATCAAAATAAAAACATGCATATCTGCGTTTATAAAGCAACCATCTACAAATGATTGATTGCCCCTTTTTAATATTTCTAGGGATATTGAAACTGAAAACTATTGAGATAAAACTTTTTTTTAAATTGTACCAAAGAACGACCCGATGAGTCGAAGCACTGCGAATTTACCATAAAATCATTCATTGCTTTTTTACACAAAAATAGAAAAAAGATCCAAGGGATTAAGATACCCCCCACGCACCCACAGACGCACACCTACATTATTTGAATCATTTTGGTGTATTTCCTTTGTTCTGTGCAACGTGCAGTTTTAATCACTTCCATTTGAACAAGAATCTCCCATGTGGACATTTGAACCAAACGTTCATTATGTAAAATACTTCCGTTTGAGAAGAATAAGCATAGCTTAGAAATTTCCCCTTTTCGAGTACATTCCAAATATCTATTTCGTGAAAATCTTGTGGATTACCACTAAGTACCTAACAAGGATCTAATACGGGCGATTCACAATCGCGTGCCTCCAAGAGTTTGCAACCCTTTCCAAACGTTAAACGCGCATTGGGTCGACAGGTTTCGAGCATTGTGATTGGCTAAAGGTTGCAAACTCTTGGAGGCGCACTACTGCGATACGCCCGTATAATTCCATCCTCTTGCACGTTCCTTCCCAAGCCTGGTCGTGTAGAATACGAAAATGACGCTGATTGGCTATTTGGGATGAATATACATGACGTAAAATCAGTCCCGTGCGTATTTCAAAAGCTGCGCGCTCGAGCCCATGTATTATCTTGCACGTCAAGCGTAAATCCGCGTCGCTCGCAAACCGCTGACTAAAGTCCTAATTTAAATATCCAAAATAGGGTACGTTTGATTAGCTTGCACGTGTAATTCAAACTTACACGAGAACGTTCGTTTAACCATCACATGATCTCCGTGCCTGCCTGCCCGGTGTCAGCCGCCACAACCCCAGCTGGCGAGCGGGTCTTTGGAGGCTGCTCAAGTTTAATGACGTCACGGATGGACTGTTCGAGCATGGAAATGATGGAATGTGGCAGGACTTGACCTTTTTTCCCAGAATGCCTTGGCTAATACGCACAGCGTTCGAATAGCCTCATTTCGAGGCTTTCCTTGGGGTCACACTTGTGTATTCGGGGAAGCTAATCGAACGCACCGAATGTAGGATATTTAAATTCTATAATACCAGGAGTTAGGTCGCGCAAGGCATGGTGGGAACCAGCATGGCGCGGCAAGATCCCATGGAAATGAGATTGGTGTAATTCGACCCCCAGAGGTGACACAACGCTTGTGGACACTTGGTACGCGCGCGTTACATGCCTCTTCGACCAACAGGGTGTTGTGATTTGCCAAATGTACGCGCGCGTCAAGCTGAAGAATGTGCGTGTGAGCGCGATGCCACCGGAGTTAGGGCGTCTAATCGGATTAATTGCTGGGTACTTCCAATTGTTCTGTTACCCATGGGGCCCCACAAGGCACCATAAACGTAAGCACACGTTTTGGCCATGCTGGATGGGCAAAAAGTGTGCCTGTACTTACATACTTGTTTCAACAATTAATATGAAACAATTTCGTTTGCCCTTTAAGTGATCACTGAAAACTCAGTGATCACTATATCATTCAAAATAATTCTAGACCTAAGATCCTTTTTTTTCAAGTCCGGATTCGTCGATCTCATAGAACCGGGTGCGTAGAGGACAACCGCCCATTTTTTGCTCTTGGCAAACGCATATTTAAGTCCTTAAATATGAGCAGTTTTACTTGTCCTAATATTGGTAAGCCTCTCACATAAACACTGTCTCAATTCAAGAGAGCAAGAAAAGCCTTAAAATTTCTATCGTGAAGGTAGACCTTCATAAGTTTGCATAAACCTCTTACGATGACGCTTTGGTTCATCGCGCGATGTGTTCGAAGAGCGCCCTCGTTTGGATGTAGTTCTCACAGCTTACCCCCCCCCACATCTCCGACGCTTTTTCACCACCATCGTCACCACCACAGTCACCACCATTTCTAGGGTTTGATTTGGGATTATAGCAGCACTCATTTCGAATACTTGGGCGGGGTTAATCGTCACCATGGTCATAGTGTAAAAAAATGTCTGACGACATTTCAGAGGTAACTTTTGTCAGACCTGATTCAATTGACGGCCGAGTCCGAAAGTTTACAATTGATGCACGAAATATTTATGGCTACGCCTGTAGCAAATTCGTTTTTTGAAGAAAAAAAAAGGGTATTGTGCCTCTTTTATACCCCCAGGCATAGTCACACCCTGCACGACGTGCATGGGCACATATGGTTCGCTGTTCTCTTCCTGCAAGAGCTATGGTAGCAGTTTACTAATTCAAGTGAGAATTTCTGGCCAGCTCATTAGCATTAAAAGTGCCCCCACAATATCTTTTGAAAAAGGAGATCGTGTGGCCCCCCTAAATGGTGGGATAGTGTAAATCGTTGCCAGGGTCAACTCCCTGGGTCTTTGGGCTTTCATCTGAGAGCAGAATGGCTAAAAAATACGGTTGAAAAATGGTCCTAGGTGTCAAAAAAGTTGAGGGTTGCCACTTGAAAAAATGGCAGACTTCAGAAAAATCACTTTTCGGGGGGCACTTTTGATTTGTGAGAATAACTAAAAATGTGTTGGGTTAACCCACAGAAAATTGAAAAGAAATTGAAATCGTTACGTCTTGTAAATTATGCAAGGAGCGAAAACGTTTACATGAGACGATGTAACGTTTTAACGGTTGGTTTAAAGCGCCACCTTGTGATACTCAAGGCTAGGTTAACTTCTATCAATGCCTACATGTCATGGTGGAGGTATGTATTTGCGCAGGCGGAAGTACTGATCTCGGCCTGTCCAGTTTAAATTCTACCCATGCAGTAGTCAGGCTTGAAGAAATATGTCAAGTCCCCTCCCCCGCAACAACAACAAAAACAACAAAATTAGACGTTTAATACGGAACCGGCACAACCTTTGAAACAGGGGGTAATGCGAGAGCGAAAACTCATGAGGGGTGGCTTAGCACTAGACGCTCGCAAATCGGCCTACCCATACAAGTACACGATGATAACATTCTCGGGCCAGCCGATTTCTTTCCCCGACTCGTTACTGTTGCATCTCAAAAAATACGTTTTGATTGGGTATTTAATTGTACTTATCATTTTTCACTCACGAAGTGATAGGTAAACATGAGTAAGTACTTTGATATTTGAATTTCAATAGGCCTATTTCGATTTAAAATCAACAACTCACACTTACAAAGTAGGCCTACATTTTGAAATACTTTGATTTTGGCATTATTTATGCTCGGTTCCTTTATTACGGTTCTTCATAAATCTGTAATTGGTTTGTTCTCTGACTTGAAACGTCTCGCAAGATCACTGTATGCACCTATATGGTGTTCATATCATGGCCTATGTCACAATGCATCTATTTAGAAATGTATCTTATCGTTTGCGCTCGATGTTAAAGTTCACTGCTGCACTTTAAAAGTATAATTTTAACACCCCTGCATGCACACTGAAGCTATTCTGGCCAACGGTAATAGAATCTTTTTATCATTTTTGTATGTCTCTTTAAGTCAGAACAAAATAAAATTCTTTTAACAGGGAGAAAGTAGGTGTCAGTGTCCAAACTTTCCTTACTTTTAGTACAATCAATAGATGTTATATAATACCAGGACCCGAGACAAAAAGTAAACAGTTCTTCTGTGTTGTGTCGAGTTCATACTTTTTAATCACTCACTTTGCTAATCATATTTCTCAAAGATCTGCCATTCAGGTGAAGGGTTATTCAAACATACAACTCTGGTGCATTGAAGGCGACTGTGCCTTCAGCATATATATGGAATCAGCATGCCACAAGACGTTTGCCTCCTTTGCCCAACGTGCGACGATGCCTTATAAGGTGCTCGTCGCAGTCGCGATGTGGGCCGTGGAACTTATCGCAACGATCAAGGATATTTTCATTTTCGGGGGAAGGGAAATGAGTAAATTTAACAAAAATGAATTAAAAAAAACCTGCACGATATCATCTATTTCCCGAAACTGTTTGAGTAAGATTCAATTGTTTAAAGTGCGTTTGTTATTTCAGTCAGTGAGACCGAAAAACTTGGGAAAGAATAATGACTTCGAACTACATGTGGCGAAACACCCCTGCTGGCAAATGGAACGAACGAACGTCAACTTTGGCAGATAATTATTGGGGTTGAACTTTCCTTCCGCCTTTTGGTATCCTGCTCAGTTTGGTGGCGTAGTGGACGGTTTGGTTCTCCTCTCCTGAAGACACCCCGTTTGAATCTCTTCAAAATGGTAAGTTTCCTTGTAATCATATGTTGTACAAAATTGGGATTTCTGATTCACAAATATTGTCGATATATAACGTAATAATGATTATCACCGCTTTTCATTGTTTTTCATGGAGCAGTGCGAGTTAGTCTGATAAATTATGTCTCGACCTCTTCATACTTTTAACAGATTTTATTCAGTCGATTGTGTTTATCATAGTACACTTCAAGTGAACATTAGGTTCTTGTAAAATTTGTACTTTTACTTAACTTTTTCCACTTGCAAGTAAGCCAGGCCTTTAGTCTTTACCGTAAAGTGACTTTAGAAATGTCAAGTTCCATAACAACAATAACAACAACCAAATTTTCCATCACTAAATTGTTGCTTGCATCCACATTCAGAGCCTGACTTGGCTGTTGAAAAAAATTACAGTTATTCTACTGGCTGATACAATAGAACAGAATTTTGTGTCCCCTACTGCGCCAAAGTAAAATGAATCAATTTCTGTAAGGGCCACGAACTTAAATGGAGGTTAAACAAATTAAGAGACAAAAAGAACAGAAGGAGAAAGAAGAAAAAGAGGAAGACCATTTTTGGAACCTGTTTGCCATCTACTGGGATCACGTAATTCCATTTTACGCAAGAAATGAACCCCGATTCGTGAGAACAAAAAAATGTTCAGGTTAAGAGAACTATGAAGAACATTGCAAAACTGGTGACGATAAGTCTTTAAATTGATGAGTATATGGGAGAAGACAAACATAAAGTATATTGTGTAAGACGTTATTTTGAAAACCTAAGATAGGTGTGAATTGGTGACTTGTCCACACATGTAATCTTCTTCAGGCCTGACTGTTGTTACTGTTCGTTTAATGTTGGAAGTAACCCAGACTTGGTCGACGGGATCCGATTAGAATAATGTTCCGTCACTTCTTTCATAATGTGTATTCAGCAATGCTATACATACCCACAATCATAGGTCGGTAATGTATGCGCACAGACGATTGCGGTATGCTTGATATGCGAGGAATGCTCACGGTTAGAGTTCAATACCAGTCGCTTGTGCGTTCTCGTGCTGCCTGTGTTATGTGTACGTGGCACGGAAGCCTCGTGTGCAGGAATGGGTAGATGTAATGTTGCCGCGCTGACCTTGGGTAATGACGTCGCACATTGACCCCATTAAACCCAGAACTTCCTCAAGTTCGTGCCAGCTCGATTCTCATGCAAGTTTGCGGAGTATCTACATGTAGTTTTTGATGTGGGGGGGGGGGGTCAAAAGTGAATACTGCTTCAGGCTTATTCAACATGATGTTGGGGAAGAAAAAATATCACAGCCTCACTCACGGTTTCGACATCCTTGCTTTTATTTTGCGGTGTTTTCTGGTGTAATATTTGATCAATAAATGTAAACAAATATTTTACATACAAATAAAAACTGAACAGAATCCATCGGGTGGATACACCACCTCTACTAAGTGTGTATTCGCAAAAGTTGAACATCATCAAATGGACTTGTTTGATTCACCCAATGCACGTCAGTAACTTTTATTTTTAAATCGTCAGCGTGTGAACGTGAAATAAGAAATTCGTAGCTGAACCTTGATCAAATAATGTAACCTGTACTTCATCAAATAAATGAAGATAGAGACAGGAAGAGTTACCCAATAAACCTATCCTGTGACTCTAACTTTAAAAAAAATGATTTTTTTTCCCCAGGCAAGCAAGAAAAAGGGAGGAGCAAAAACGAAGAAGCGTGCCCAGCGCGCCACTTCAAACGTCTTCGCTATGTTCGACCAGGCTCAGATCCAGGAATTCAAGGAGGTCAGTCCAGAAATGATTATCATTGGTCAACAATGTGACCACTGATCAGTCCATCCAGACTGCTCAGGGCAGAAGGCTCTACAGTCAATTCGAGATGTTAGACTACTCCAAGGCCGGGTCGCCGCAAAAGCTTACATCATGACACAGACGCGAATTTGTGAGGGCAGATCAAAACATTCGCGCTGCGAATTCGCAAAAGTTGAACACATTTCATCAAATTTTTGTCACGTCAAATCTGCTTCGTTTTCACATTAAGTATGAGCCTGCCTTGTCAGAGCGTAGAAGTAAGTTTCTTGAACGTTATGTGGTTGTTATATTCAACTTGGACGACCATATAATTGAGCTGCAAAATACTGATATGTTTTAGCCAGTGTCAGATAGTTTATAAAGCTTCAATGGGATAACATTTTCATAACATGGAATAGAGACTCAAGAGACACGAAATCATCTCGTCAAAGTATTAATGTTAGCGTTGAAAAAAATTCACCACGCATTGAATGGTATCTATTTTGTACCATCTGTTCGATTTTTCCCATAAGGCGTTCACTCTGATCGACCAAAACAGGGATGGCTTCATCGACAAAGAAGATCTGCACGACATGTTGGCGTCCATGGGTAAGAAGATGATAAACCTTTGAAGTCGTGCTGCTCATCGTAGCCTCATGACTTTACAAATCGATTATTTCAAGTTGCAATGGAAAGGTCAGACCTCTCTCTTCATTGCTCAATTCCCCATTTTTTTATTCAAGGAAGGAAATGCTCTGATTTTTTTTTTTTTTAGGTAAGAACCCAATGGAAAAGGAACTGGATGAGATGGTTGCCGACGCTCCTGGCCCGATCAACTTCACCATGTTCCTCACCCTCTTCGGTGAAAAACTTAATGGTGAGAAAAATGGGATTGCCGGAGAACTGCACTCGGAACATACTGATACATAAAACTTGGTTTGCTGGAGAGCATCTCAAAAAGATTTCTAGCACATCATGTTCGGGTACTTTCAGCTGAAACAGAAAAGGACAGATATAGCTCCGTGCTCGACGTAATCGGTTTAAAGTTGAATTATCTGTTCATTTTTGTAGGGACGGATCCAGAAGAAACAATCCTGAACGCGTTCAAGCTGTTCGACGAGGAAGGAAAGGGGAAAATACACGAAGACTAGTAAGTTACAAATACTGTAGTAAGAAATGCGTGATAGATCAAACACTTCAGGGTGACGGTCCATGGCCACGCCCCCGTGTACATATTTATCTTTATTTTCAACGTAACGATACGGGCGTTTCACATTCCTGCTCCTCCACGAGTTTGCAACGCGTTGGCTAATCACAATGCGCGAAATCTGTCTGACCAATGCGCGCTTGGAAAGGGTCAACAGATTTGGCGCGTTGCAAGGCGTTGCAAACTCTTGGAGGTGCACTGTTGTGAATCACCCATATTAAACTACACATCCCGCTTCAACACGTAAATTTTTTTTTCATGATCCCCGTCTTGTTCTTCACAATCAGCCTGAAAGAATTGATGATGACGATGGGCGACCGCTTTACCAAGGACGAGGTCGAGCTGATGTACAAGGGCGCCCCCATCGACGACGAAGGCTGGCTGGACTACGCGGGCTTCGTGCGTATCATCAAGCACGGCACCAAAGACGAGGAGCTGGTAAAGACCAGTGGTTAATGAGCTCCTGGATGTTCCAGTTATAGCAATACCATTAATTTGTATGGATTGATGTCAATTAACGCGCACTTCATGCTGCCCTCAGTGTTTCCAACAAAATGGCGGACTGAATATTCGGCTTTCACCCTGAGATTTGCCGAGACGTGCATCCTTTTCAATGTTCCAAGTTGATTGCTGGGAGCATCTGTTCTGTTATCAGCATTTCATACGCTTTTCATTTTCATAGCTTTCCATATTCCTAAATGGTAAATGAATCTAGATGGATTGTTCAAAGCTTTATTGTACACCATGGGAATAGTTTTTAGTTGTAAAAATCCTATCCCAATGAAAGTCACGGTCGTACCGACAGTGAGTTTGAACTAACGTACCGCATTTTTTTCGCCCATGGTCTGTGAAAGATGTGTTCCAAAACGTGTAGTATTTCTATTATTTGTAAAATCCATGAGCTTCCCAGCGAGACATTGCGCTGTTTCAATCCTCAAGGAAATTGATCTCAGACAAAAATTACCCATTCGTCGTCCTTTCATGATGTCGATTCTTACTATCGAATATGACAGATTATTACGATGCATTTCACTTATTTATTTAAAGTTTTGTGTAAAATCTAACCTCGTAGAATTTAGATTAGAACGTGTATCGGTACAAATGAATTAAAGGATGTGGTTTATGTTTCGAAATAAAGCTGCCGGAGAAGGAGATTACAACCAGTCTGGTTAAGTTGACAAAGTTTTCGGGAAGAAAATTAAGTCACCGAAATAGTTCTTTCCCAACCAAATGGCCATGTGCTTGTCGTCGTATGTGAAGTAGCACTACTATCCAACTAGGAAAAGTCAAGCTCTCACGTGGGACTCATCGTACCACGTAGGGCAGATTGAAATCGTCACATTTTCACTGTGTGCCAGAAAATGTGCAGCCACGTGATCAAACGAGCTGTCACACACGGACGTGAATGGCTGTTGTGTGGAATGAAATGTGATTTTTTATTTGTGTATATATATATTAATGTTTTGAACTCAGTCATGCGAAACACATTACTACTGCATTAAAACAGAGGTGTTCGATTGTCTCACCTACTATATTGTTATATGCATAGTTGCATTCTTCACAGTAAAGTGATAAATCAGTTAAAAAGGGCACTCTCGAAGAAGTGGATCTACAGGTGCAGTTTATGGGGCATAAATCGGTGATGCAGGGAATGTTATGAGGATGCTGTGGAGAAGGGATGGATCCTTTTTCAAAGACAACTGTTGCCAAGCAACAAAAATTGGAACACTAAATTATTTTTGTTTTGATGAAAAAGATTTCAGTCTACATTGTATCTGAGATCATTTCTGCAGCCAGTTCAAAACTAAGTACTTGATACCAGAGAAACCTATAGCCGCCTATCTAAAATGTCATAACTGCTTTGGCACTGCATTTGAGTACAATGCTTGTAATCTTGTACTTGACGCGCGCGTGCAACTGGCAATGTACATTGTCCGATTGCTCGAAGAGGCATGTAACGCATGCGTATCACCTGTCCACCATGCAGTGTTGAGCCACCGCTGCAGTAGTATATAATGGATTTTAAGGCCGAGTCCGAAACGGCCTTCAAATAATTAATTGGGTTGTCCAATTACACGATACAAAAAATAACTAAATAAATAAACAAAAAGGACGCGGGACTCGCACATTCTGAGACAAAAGTATTGATCTCCATTTGACAAAACTTAGAGCCAAAAAATCCCATAATGGGGTGTAGATAACTCGCAAACGCGGCGATAGGTCAATTATAGACCTTTTTCCAGTGATGTTACGATCGTGCTGGACCTCTGATTTGTTCTGATGGTAATGAGTGCATAGTGTTGTGATGGTAATCTACTTATTCAAGATAAACTATTCAAGCATGTAGCGTTCGCACGTGCGCTTGCACGTGGTTGAAGCTGCCCGTAGGAATATATATCACCGTGGCCAAGGCGGTCACGTGGTGGTATTGTTTACATTTAGTCACGTGGGTGAAAAAGGTCTATACGCGGGTTGCTAATCAAGAACGCATTCGTCCCTTCGAAGTTTGACGGGGGGGGAGATGTGAGCTGCGTGACATGGATTTGTCACACAGTTCGTTTATGTTGCTTATGTCATTTTGCGCGTGCTGCGGTACTTTTATACCATGCGATTGGACAAAGTGATTCTGACGCGATTGTACAAGCTGCCAGTTTGAGGCTCTGCATGCTTACGGCGAGAGCTTGCGAAGAGCGAATGGCCCCTTTTGTTTTTCTTCTCCCTCTTTCCATCTTTTTAAAAAGAATTGATTCATTCGTTCTTTTTTTTTGGGGGGGGTGCGCCCCCATGCCCCCTGGTCCCGCCCCCGGCACGTCATCATTCCTATTAATTGCAATCCCGACCAAAAGTACCCTCAACCCTGCCAGTAGCGGCGGAACGGTTTCCAACCGGGGGAGGACAATTGTTGGATCACCTGGCATTATTAATCATTTCTGGTAATGACACCAAAAGACTCCTCAAAATCGCCCTAGCTTGCAAGCCTGAAGAAACCTGTAGAGGGGAGACAATGAGAAGCAGTTACAGTTTTAGAGGTGGGAGGAAAACCCCAGACGAATTTCTGGGTAAAACCCACGGAATCAGGTAGGGACTGAAAACCCAATTCACATGTGGACCGGTTCGGGAATCGAACTCCCCCATCACCCATTAATAGACCGATGCAATAAGCCCCACCCCAAAATAGGGCAAGTATGTGTGATTGTGTGTGTGTGGGGAGGGGGGGGGGGGCAAATCGAAAAAGTGAGGGAGTGGGGGACTGGCCTCACTTCCGCCGCCAGTGTCCCATCCCCCCCTCCCTCAGTGTTGTCAAACCAGCATGTTGTGTGAAAAAAAATCTGTGCTCAGCTCTGGTCGGACAAGTTATAGAGCGCCCCCTATTGTTCAACTACGACTTAGTTTGTATTTGGCTTGCTGCATGCACATTTCAGAATCTGGAAGCTTACAGTTCCTACTGAAAGTAGGCTGGCTAGTCATTTCTTATGTTTGTCATATCATGGTCATGGTAGTTTATATCATGGGTTTTGGGTAAGACAAAATACATTATCTTTGATCTGATGAAAGTTGAACAGCATTGTGTTTTGCTCGATTGAGCATTTAGCTCAAAACATGAAACCAGTCGGTGAAATGACCCCCAAATTAGCTAATCTTGTAAAATTAAAGCCGAAACCAAGGGCGTTTCCTACATAGCAATGCGAAGTATACAGCAAAGAAACAAATAGTAAACATAAACAAATTTAACAGTTACACTTTTAAATACTTAGTGAAGAGGGGGCGGGTAGTGGAGAATCACTTTCTTCAGCCAATGTGACAACTCTTTTTTTCCCCTGTTCACCCTAAAAGAGGCGTGTTAGGCCATTAGACATTTTGCTCTTTTCTGCTGAAGCGTAGACTCCACTCCAGGCCAAAAAAAAAAAAAAATGATACAGGTTGAATCGTACACCGGCACCATAGCCGTACATGTGTGCATGTCAAAATGAAGAAAAGCCGATGCCAGGAACGAGGTTGAGTCACCGCTGCTTTATTGGGCCTTTCGTGGGGTCGATCTGCGATACGGATCAATGATGTCATAGTGTAATACGACCTGATTGGCGTGCCCCCTTTGTCCTATTTATTTTTCGGATTTTTTCTCTGCTCTTTAACTGCGGCACCGTCAGCTGAGTCATTATTTCGTGAAAATCTAAGTGAGGAATACAGGGCGGATAAAATTGTGAGACTACGTGTGTTTCTGCTGCAAGGAAAATAACTGAGAGGGAATAAGGTAATTTTTTCGATTTCTTGGATTAATCATGTAGGGCCTATGGGCAGATGGGAACTTGGATTAGAGTGCCGTTCATGTCGTTGGAAATCGTGTGACTCGTGTCGTGTCGATGCGGTTCCCCGTTCAAAAGGGTTATTGCAAATACTGCTTACATGTAGGTGATTTTACACAATGGTAGAACGGCATTGCGGAAAGGAAAAAGGGGCAATGTTTGCTCCTTTTTCCTTCCCACAACACCTGTATACCATTGTGTAAAATCATCCATGCAGTTTTTGCGATAGTGTATCAATTATCATGATGTAGGCCCAACAATGAACACGCATGGCGGATGCCTGTGCTGTGGATTCATTGCCAGGCTTGCGCCCGCCTAGGTGATTTCTTGTTTAGGTTCGGTTGTGTTTGAATGACCAGATGATGTTTCTATACCATTTATCATAATATTTAAGGTGTCTTTTGTAAATCTTTGTTCATAAGGTCATGACGGCCTTGCCCATGATTGTATGAACGGAGTAACCTCATGCCATGGTCATTGTAGGGCTAGGCCCAATACTTAATGGTCCATGTGTACGGTTGTCATGATTCGTTGTGGTCATGATGATGATGATGTATGTGATTGTGAGTTAGGCACCTAGGCCTACCCCAAGAACTTACTCCAGAACTGTGGCCTGTGGGGTCCGACATCTGCCCCATGGGAGCGGGGTGGACGTCGACACCCTATTTCAGGTAGCACCCAATTTGAATGATTTTTCATGTCTTAAAGACTAGTTTTAGGCACTGTTACAATTGCCAGGCTCTTCTTTTTTTATTTCCCAAGAGTAAAAACGCCGTAAATCATGCGTGGACCATCATCCACGTATGGCTTGGCATGAGACTGAGACATTTTGACTTGTTTTTTGCTCTTCTTATTAATTTTATCATCTTTGTGAATGCCTCCAAGGCTCCAAATCCAATATCATGTTTTATTGTCCTAACTATGTTACTAAAATACATGTACTTCATTATGCAAGGCTTTTAACCCTAACCCCTAGCGTGTATGTAAAATTGTATTGAAATTGGAGGATTTGAGACAGTTAGGGTTAAGCCAAGTTCAAGGTGAGAATGCACAGTCTGGCATTTCCTGTTGCAAACTGTTGTCATTGTTTCTGTTGTTAGAAGCACGTACACATAACAAGAAAAAGTCACTCAGCAATATCTTATTTACTTGTAAGTGAAAGGTGATTTAGATGAATACAAAATGTCTTTGACGTAGACTGATTTCTCATTCGAGCATTTGGGAAAATTTGATTGTGTGACCAAAGCTGTGCCAGGAAGAATTCCATATAATTTTATGGACATCGCTAATTTTGCCCTGGAGCAGCATATTAGCCGTCAGAAAGCAATAACATGTCTCAAAAAGTCAAATGTAGCTGATAAAATATGGAAGCATTTACTTGGCCCCTGGTCAAGAGTGATGCACTTGTTTGTGGCCATGTGGTACATGGGGTTGCTGGAGCTACATGTAGAAAGCATTGGCCTCCGAGACTTGCCCTTGTTACAGTACTTCCAAGCCCATCCACAACTTGCGAGCCCGGCCTTTAGGGTACAGACCATTTATATATTGATGGCTAAAGTTTGTAGAAATATCCTACATTTCCCTAAGTGTACTTTTAAAGAGGACTTGAAATTTCATTACGATTTAGTATACATGTAAATGTTTATTAGGAACAATTTCTGTCCTTGAGTTTCATGAACATTAACAAATTTTAATATGACAAATGTAAAACCAGTTTTTCCTCCGACACCTTTGGTCATCTCAAGCTGAATAGACTTTTCAATGAAAATTCAAGGAGAGGCAGAATTTTTTTTAATGTTTGGTGGCCAGATATGAAACTCTTGCCATTTATTATGTGGTTTTCGACAGCTGCTCGAGATGTTTCAGTTCTTTGTGAATTATTCCATTGTTTGTGTTCCTTGAGAAATAATCCAGTTACTCGGAGAGCCAGGGCAGCAGGGTAATTTTGGTGCAGACGCAGTTGCCAGCATACATACATAGTTTCAGGTAACATGAAAACTCATCCATTGAAACAGCTCAACTGCAGGACGACTCATATGTGTATGTAGGGGATGTACTCACAGAATGAACGGAAAGAGAGAAAAAGGCACTAAAGATTCTAGGTTTAAGATAAACTTTGCACACCGTAAAACTCCCATCTGATGAAGGAGGATCTCTTTTGTATTTGTTTGAAATAAAAAAAAAAAAAGTGCCCGGGGATTGCAATTTATTCCTTCTTTCCCTCTATCCATCGTCTTCAAAGGTCCCCCTCATTAAGGGGATCCTGGGATACCCTGCCAACTTTTTTTTTGCCCTTTAATCTCGTTAGCAGCTTACTATTTTTGCAACTGAAAGGGGGAAGTGAGCTCAAATTGATAATCAAGATAATTACCTCTGCGATCTAGTTGTTGACGAGTGCAAGTGCCGTTTGTGACGAGTGCTGACTGTGGTTTACATGACAGTCAAGTGATACAGTGTGCATGTTCCTGCCAGCACAGTCGATGGAGAACTTGAACATCAGCTATTGCGGTTGCTAGAGCCCCCTCTCTCCCCGTGGTTCTTGTTCACGCATGGGATGCCCAACAAGCACAACTGTTGTTTGGATTAATGGGATTTAGCTCCAGGTATTTTGTTGTTCAGTGACTCATTACACCAAATTACACATCGAGGATGATATACACCACACTGTGGGAGGGGGGAACAGGGAATATCCTGCATATAAATGGTTGTAAAACTGACTGACTGAGAACACAAACCACCTGTTCTTATCAGAAATCTCTCATTCTTCCTGTATTGTGTAGGGTCTTAATTGAACATTCACTCAAGTTTTGTTGTGATTAGTAAAATCAATTTATTTTTTGAATGCCAGTTTTCTTTAAAATCCTGACCATCCGCCATGACATGTGAGTACCATTGTAGCTCTATGGTACCATGTACAGGTACATGTAAACTACAGATGTACGGAATAGATACCATTGTTCATTTAAAACCTGTAAACATAAGACGGACTTGGGTTCAGACAAACCTACATGTACGTGTACTTGTAATTTAAGAAACTCCACGATACATGTATGCACACGGAAGCATACCAGTACATGCCCTTTGTACAGTTTTATCTTGCCTACACTAATAAGGTACCAGGTGGCGCACACGCACGTATGCACATTTGTGTGTTTAACGTCATACATGTAGTGTATGGAATATTGATCAAGTGCATTTTTAACGCCTATCTGAATTCACTCGTAGCGGTTACATGTATACGTGAAGTGCTTGCCATCCATTGATTCAGAGGATACGGTGAACAGGACCAAGTGTTCAGTACAGCTGGATTGTAACATAGATCATTGACGTTTCAGTTTTTTAGTAGGGTACTATTACAGGTGCGTACAGTTTCAAGTTTTGCTCTCCAGTTGTCCTTTGTACTAGTTCTGATTGTGAGGCACAGCCAAACAAATTGCTGCTAGCACACTCTCGGTCCAAATTTGCCTGAGAGGGTCAGCATTCAGTGCACGGCAACTTACTCATGATGGCCAAAATGTGCTGACAATGATGGTACGGTACACTTATGCACTTCAGGAAACCTGCTTGCACATGTGCTAATTTTAGTTTTGAAGCTTCTTTTTTTTTGCCGTAACCACTAAGCCAAACTATGGCAGATGCCCAAGGACTTTACCAGATTGTACGTAATCGAATTGATTACTGCATCATGGTTATTTGATGAGTGTGTCTGAAAGCCACCAGTAAATTAAAAGTAATGACTTTTCCAAAACACGCACAGAATGGTAAATGTGAATTTACTGGTATTCATTAGTACATGTTCCTCATGAACCGACCATGCTGTATTATTTTCCAAAAGTTTGTGTGTTTGGTTGTGGCGTGCATGTTGTTTTAAGGAATTTCTGTGCATGCATGCTAAGTGAATGGATGAACAGGTGAGTGTGTGCTCAGTCACCTGTTTTAGTTTGTGTTCAGAGATCGTGATAAATTTCTTAGTCTTTGTCTCAGGCTGGAAATGCGACGTCTGTTTGGCTGCCATTGCATGCAGGCATGTGTATGCCACAGTTGGGAATCTCAAAATATGTAACCGTGCGTTAGAGAGACCTTTCGCGACACCTGAGGAAACTGAAAACCAGATTTGATGGCTTATGTGTAATAGTATCAGGGGTCAGTTGAACCAGGATGTTTCAGTGGGATATTGGACTTCACCGCATGGGCATACATTACATGTGTCTCTGGTACATGTAATCTGCAATCATTGAATGTCATGATGATGTATGTACAGTATACATGTGTTGTCCAGGCTTCACTTGTTTATGGTCATATTACATGTACATGTATGTACTTTCCTGTACCAGGAGATACATGTAGCACACATGTACATGTAGTAAATCCCTTGTTATGTTTATGAGTGTAAATTCTGTGTTCATTCAAACATGTACCGGTACATGTATACCAGAGCATGCCGTATTGGCTGTAAAATGAGGTTGCATTTACACGTTGGGAGAGCAGAGTTGCTGCAGCCTACTTGTACATGTATTTTCCATCAAATTCAAGCTTTATGCATTGATCAACACACAGATGGCTGTGCTCAGTTGATCAACACAATTTTCAGGCGCACTTGTACTGTATATGCAGTTGATGGTTTTTATACGAGTTCATGTACCGGTATGTACGGTACGTTATCGTGTCTCAGACTGTTCTAGCTTCCCATTGTTCTCAATATTTGTCATTGTTTTGCCAGTATAGCAGATCTTTGAAGTAACCAAGACCTTCTCTTAGTATTTCTTACGATTTTTATACAGTGAAGTTGTGTTACTCACGGAAGAAAATAGACACAGATTTTTATATTTTTCATCCTTTTCCTTGTACAAACCGTAACCAGTGGTGGTATTTTGCCCAAATTAGACAGCCCTGTAACTACTGAGCTCTTACGCGCATTGAAGTAAAGAAACCGGGGGAGGGGGAAGCTGCACCTCAAATTCGTAACTTTTTTAAAAAAAAACTGAAATTGCCGCATGTAGCAATCCCCAGCAGTCTCGTCAGTGACCGTGACAGTCCCGTCCCTCCTACCCCCCTCCCTTGCTGCCCCTCGGTGCAATCCTTGTCGGTGACTTATTTCCTCTGCGTTCAAGCACAGTCATACTGCATGATTCCTGTGTTTGGGAAGGGGGAGAGAGAGAGAGAGGGAAAAGGGGGCATTTGATGAAAACTGGCCACCTGGCCCCAATTCCTCATCAGAACTTGGAAACGGAGAGGTGCTGGGGGATTGGCTGGGCAGACTGGATTTGTCCACTCTTGTGGTACATGTACACCTGTACATCTTCATGCAATTCCTCTCGAAGCCACAGCAAAATTATCAGTGAAGATCTTACTTTTGAAAAAAAAATTATATGGTGTGTTCATCGACAGCAGAGCTTGAATCCTCTGCAGCTAACTCTGACTCTAGGCCTTGAATGGAAGTTTCTTTCTGAGCCCTAGACAATGGCATCATACAAGTTCTTTTTTTTTGTTTTAATAATAACTGCTTTTGAAAGCATGAACTGTGCTTTTGAACTAGTGTTATTCATAGTCTCAGTGATGCTCGGTTGCATTTTCATAACAACTTCTGGTTTTACTTTCATGTTTTATTTCAGGTCAAACATGGGAGCTGCCTGAAAGTGTACAGACTGAGGTTGAAAATTACTGAAGCAATTGAAATTTGGTGTGTAAATGGGCACACTCAATGTGCATATTTTTAAAATCACCCATCATTATTAAAAGCAGCGGGTTATAATTCAAAGGAAACAACCAGGGCACGTCTCTCTACTAGAAAAGAACCATCGGTACATCAACTTGACAGTGACACCTTTGATCTGTAGGGCAACTAACCCATCAGCTTGTAGTCAGACCAACTCAACATTTGTCAAAGGAGTGCCAGGGAACAAATCATGGCAGTGCCATCGCATCACAACCTGTTTTTGGTGCTCTGCACTTTCGCTGTGTTAGTCACAGTTTCGTCGTCCCAACAGTGCACGACGAACCCCGACGGTGAGATTGTATGGGGAAGCCTCCCGACGATCGGACCGCCCAAGTCGAGTCTGGACTACGAAACAGATGACCAGCGACGGGGCACCCTCAGTGATATGGCCCGGGGATTTGTCAACTTGGTGACACCACCAGAAACAGTGAGCGAAATGTTAGGTAAGTATTTGACAAATTTCCCACAGTTTAACACTTGTTGAGGTACCGGTAATAAACCTTCCAGAAAGTTTGTGAAAGTTCTTAACCTTCACATTTTACCTTTTTCCCTTCCCTAAATTGCATTTGATCTATACCGTGTTGTAGCTCTAGCAGACTGCTACAATGCTGGGCCCAATTTCACGGCCCTGCTTACCGCAAGCGAAAACTCGGCGCTTACAGTAGCAGAAAATTCTGTGCTTGCGGCGAATGTACTTCGTGGGTTAGTGAGAAATTTTGGCTTGTGCACATGCGTACATCCTGTAACTAAGGATTCTGTGCTGAAAGGGTTAGCACAGAATTTTTCTGCTAGTGCGGTTAGTGCAGAATGGAGATCGTAAGCGTCTAAATTTAGTCTAACATAAAATTTGCCTCTTAAATTGTGAAGTGATCCCGTCAACAGGGTTATCAATGTCTGAAGAAAGAGTTCAGCTGATTATTAACTTTTGGTTTGTTGACATCAGAAATTACACTGAGCAATGCACACAGCTTATATTGTTCCCTGAATTTTATAGTCCACGTTGTTTATTCACGATTAACCTTTGAACTTGATCCTACATACCGGTACATGTACACACACAAGGAAACGGTAGAACTGGGCGTTTTAGACAAAAACGTTGGCCATCTTTATCTCTGACTCACAGTGCACACAGAGGGTTGTTGATTTTTCAAGTGATCTGTACCGAGATCTTGTGTATGGCATTATGTGTGTGGATGCTGTTGCCCGGGTGACAATCTTGCGTGCCCATGAACGCGGATGTCATCCTTGGAAAGACGGGCTTTGGCTTTGGAAGGGGAATTACCCTAGACCATGCCAGGTGCTGTTCTTTGTGACGTGGACGTGCTCAATTTGGATGAACTTGATATTAGTATTTGGTCCCTCATATGGCAGCATGCGAAGGCAACTGCTCCTCTGCTGGAAGTACATGCATGGGAGCAAGTGTCTGTAGTACATACATTGTATATAATTGTCATAGGCACATACATTACTCTGAGCCCCGGCTAGACAAGTTTGACAAAGCTATGCCTACCGGTACATGTGTATATTTGGCTGAAGGGTATACCGTAACTTCCACAAGAAAGGGAAAGAAAATTGGCAAACCATATGTTTAGAGTTTAAGAGGGGCTGTCAGTGTCGTAGACATCGCTGCTCTTGTCTACTAATAGGGCACCGGTACATGAAGATATTTAAAAATGTACCAGGGCTTAGCCGACTGTGAATTTGAAATTTTTTAAGGAGAACACTGAATGCTGCCGGTGCTTTTGTGGCTAATTCACTGGCTTGCATTTTTTGTGGGAAAAGGTTACTAATGTTCAGGGACATGACTGGAAATCTTTTTGCCTGACCTACGAAGAAAAATGGCAAAAGTTATAATGGGGTGTGTTCAAAACAGCTGTCTGGGATATTATAAACCAGCCAATGAAATGCATGTAACAAATTGACAAGATTGGGTGCTCAATTTGTTTTTCCTTTTTAAAGAGCTGTTTGCTGGGTCTGGCACACCCTGGTCCATGTCTGTTAACGAGTCGCTGGACCACCATACAGTACCCTGTAATTGTCTTCAGCCAACTGTCTCATGAGTGAAGGTCCCTTCCCTTGTCTGGCTCAGTGTACTTTCCTTTACAATGGAGGTCAACTCACTCTCCTGCTGTAATTCAATAAGACACAAGAGATATTCATGAGGGACTGTACCATCTGGCTGGGCAGTTCAAGCCCCCCCCCTACCCTTGTCCTGTATAAGATAAGCACCGAGTGAAGAATAAAATAAAACAATATTTATCAGCGACAGTGACTCACAATCATAAATGTGCACTTGGGGAAGATATCTCAGTCTCCCATTTGACGGACTGGTGTTCACAGATTGCCAGACCTCACAAGCGGACGGGTCTGAATTATGGTGCCCGTCCAACCTTGCCAGATCCATTCATGGTTGAACATGTGTGTACAGTACCCCACTAACTTCGCACTTTACTACATGAAATTTCCTCTCATGGTTAAGATGAGCAATACCCGAACCCAAATGCACACATAGCTGTAAACATTAAAAAGAACTTCAAGAAAGTGCCCAAGGGTTTTGATGATCATGTTTAAATCTTTTATAGAGATGAATACTGGTACATGTTCATGTACATGTTTGTGAAATAAAATGGAAAGTCTTTAGCACTTGTACATGTACATGCAGTACATATGGACTTACACGTACTGGTACTTACATGTGTAAGTGCATATGCACCTGTTCATTGTAGGGCGTTTCCTTTGTCATTCACATTACATTTATGCTCCATGAAAGCATCTCTGACCTGTCATTACTCACTATTACAGTATCTCAAACTGAATCAAACCAACCGTGCAACAACCTTGGGAATTTTAAAAATGGAAAGGAAAGCTCAACCCAGGGAGTTGCTTTTTGAAACAAATGTTTTGTCGGTTGTCACTGTACCGGTACATGTACATGTACATAATTACCGGTATATGTGTTGCGCGTGTACGTGTATGCTCAGTGCAAATGTGCATGTCATGTACATGTACATGTATAGTGCCACGCACTTCAGTAAATTCAACTGTTAACAGACCTTACAACATGTAAGTTGTAGAGGGAAGGTTTTGCTTATCTCCACATGCCCAGTGGCCCAGATACAGATAAATGACCACATGGGTGAGACAGTATTTGTCTGGTTGATCAGCTAGATATTAGGCTCCCACTTGGCCATGACTGGCTAGAGTGAGGTTGGACCAATAGGCAAACTGTCATCAAGGCTTTGCAGGTGAATATGGGAAGGGGGGGGAGGTTGGATGAAGAGATGGCTGTGATCAGGCATCTGTTTTTTATAGCTCTGTGGTTTGGGTCACCTTTTGAAGTGGGAAAGGTCGGTTAATAAGGGTCAACCCTTTATTAAAGGAAGTAAGGATTTGATTAGTTATGTTCAAAATAAGAACAACATACCTACGTGTAGATACAGGTATCTTACAGTATGTTGTTGACCTGTTACCTAATCATATCACGTACAATGTACATGTATATGTACAGTGTAGGTGGGTATTTGCACATGCACATGTACATGTAGGTCTCGGTACTGAAACATGTACATGTACAATGTAGCGGTACCTTTTTGTGAAGAGCAAATGGCCAAAATAAACGTAACTCATGGCTACCCCCTCCAAGAAGAATCAGAATGAGTGATTATTACATGTACATGTGCGGTAAATTACCAGTGTCATGTGATTTGAGAATTGAAGGTACCGGTACATACACAGTGTATATGTACATGTATACATGTATAATGTAACTGATTGACAACCTGTTCTGCAAACAATGTGGACATTTACAGAAAAGCTGGTCTCTGAGGAAGGATTTGGTTTTAAAATTAATACTGATAAAGAAAAATTAGGCCTACATTCCTCATTTGATTTGTTTTTGAAGGAGTGGACAGAATATGGGAAACTGCTGCCTCACCTCCAACTCCAGTACTTTTCCTTTTCAGTCGAGTTGACACTTTTAATACGGTTGTTTTAAAGGGTTTATTTTGAGTAATTGGAGTCAGTGGTTCCCCGGCCATTGTCAGTTCATTATTTTTGGAGTAGGTAATTGAAAATCTTATCCATACAAGCAGACGAGCCTTTCCTCTTCTTTATTACACAGATTATGTGTCAAAGACACTCGAAGCAGTTTTCAACAATAATTTTGTGCCGGACCCTTGGCCAATGTTTCAGGAGGTAATATTCTGTTTTAGTTTGCTTTTTCTCTGAATAGTTTACATGTACATGAACTAGATGTAGATTGTTAGCTTTACCAGATCAATTTATATAATTTGAGCCTTCCTTCAGCAAGGAGTGTTTTGAATGGATTGTAATTAATTATCGAAGTAATCTTAGCAGTTGTCACAAGATAGCGATAGCCCTGCAAGATAATGCTCTAGAACCTGCTCAAAGTATCGGAAGCAAAAGATCCCCTTAAATTTAAAATGTGCATTTTTTATTAATCTTGAGCAATTTGCAGTTTAGGCTGATGGTGTGAAAAATGTTGGATAGACTTGCAAAATGCACTTCTGAATTATAAAAATGTGTTTACCTGAGGTACCTAATTACCGTACCCGGTACAATCGGTAGTTTCTATGTGTAGCTTTTTACATGTACTCAGTGTTTGTACTGTGGTAGAAGCTGTGCATAGCTTTTGTATTTTTTTGATGGGTCATGGCTGATGCTCATCGCTAGACTTTGACTTACCTCTCCCCCCTCTCGCAGATTGCAGCCCTGTTGGTGGGCATCATCGTCTGCCTCTCAGTGGGCCTGGCTTACATCCTCCTTGTACTCATCATCGGCCCCATCTTTGGCTGCTGCCGCTGCTGCAACAATTGTGGCGGGAAGCGGGTGCAGGCGGAGTCGGGCTGCCCGGGCTGCCTACGCGTCTTTTACACCATACTCCTGCTGTGCGTCACAGGTGTGCTATGGTAAGTCCGGACTCCAGACCCTTCTCGAATCCTTACGATATCCACCCAGAATGGTTTGTTTCACATAGGAAGCATGCACATTCCACCATCAGCCCTTGGCTTTGTAGAATACAAAAGCAGTGCTGACTGGTTATTCAGAACAATATAGAATAATGGACTAATAAGTTAATTTGTACCAATTCATATTTATAAGAGAGCACCCTATACATGTACATGTACACTGTTGTTAACTTTTAACTGTGCATGTAACATGGCAACACTTTCAAGATGAAAACGTCTGATGGAAGCCTTGTTTCTTTAAATTTGAGTGAAGGGTAGAAGAATTGATTCTTCAAACAAAACCTCACGAGCAAATGTGCTGCTTGATATTGTTTTGCCTACACTGACAAATCTCGTTCACACAGAGGGGAAGCTTACAGTGTCTTTGCCCCGTTGAACCTTTTAGTTTATTTGACCTCGAAGTGTGTCTGAGTGGAGGGAAAGCCTTGAAGTGTGGTATCTGGCCGAGTCTGGTGCTCCACCAAGCGTGTCTTTCAAGTCCATCACTGCCGCCATATATTCAATTACTTGTTGAAGGAAACAGCCACTTATCCGCTGTTTGAAATCATTTGCCAATAATGTGTTCAGCATGTTTCCAATCTGATAACATATACTTGTGGGCCCCACCGATAATAAAGAAAGGGGTTAAAGATGCTTATGCCAGTTGGTGTTGGTGAAAAAAGATAAGGTTTTTCACCCAGCGGAGGTCCGTACAATTCGTTCTTGCTTCAAAATGACAGCAAAATGCAGAGTAATTAAGTTCGGGAGACTTTTGCAAGAATATTTCACTTTATAGGAATTGTCTTTGCGAGACATTCATGTTAGTGCCATTTCATTGTAGCCTTTCAAGGGAGCAATCTAGTAACCCTGCAGATATCTGTGAAACAGTTCAGGACTTAAGGATATTTGACAAGGAACTTTGTCACTTTTCTAGATGCACTAAAAGTTCATGCTCCTAAATTCATTTGACGAGACTCAAAATCGAGGAGTTGATGCCTTCTATCATGCGAGCACCCCTGTTGAATTTAGTGTTGCTTTATTTGTTACAAAAAAATGAGTGAAAAATTAAATGTACAATACCTAACATCCGTACAATCATTAATAAACCTGGAATTGAATGTGGAATCAGAGGATTTGACAGGACTGAGGAAGGTCAAGCCCATCAGTACTAGTGGTTTGCACAGGAATTGATTCTCCTCTTGTGCAAAAAGTACTATTGGGCTTATTGGCAGTGGTGGATTTTGAAAGATCCAGGAAGATTCTTATCAAGTGTACTTAGGGAGTGGGACTTGCATTTGTGAACCGATAAACTTGTGGAAGTCTCTGTATGCTCACAATATTGACCAAAAAGAATGAAGCTGACTACAGTGCCGACTGCCATTGTTGCTGGCCCAAAGTTGTTCTGACAGCTCGTGTAGCACGAGGGATTTACCCACTGTCTAGTGATAATCTCTTGATTTGACGGGACGGTCTCTCATTTAAGGGACAGGGCACCTGCCTGCTTGATGATCAACCCATCCTTGAAATCCACGGTGCGTGGACAATGTGCCTGGCGTATTCTAGTTTTGGCAGGACAAAGTTCCGAGTAGGTGAAAGTAGGCTTGTTTCATCTCCTGCAGAATCATCTGAAACTGATCAGTGGAGTTTGCATGATCAGGGAGGATTTCTTCAGATCTTCTTTGAAGTTCAAAGGTTCACACTCTGACCCGTATGTTTTGGCGTACATGTATCACCCCCAATCATGCCTGGAATGCATGACTCGAGCACACTGCAGCACACAGCGGGTTTGCCGTAGATACGGTAGAGAAGGGCTGTGTTTGCACTGCGTAGCACGTCTTTGATGTTTTCCTTTTAAACACCTGTGGCAAGGATATCAAAATACTCAGCAAATTAGGCCGCTTGGCATGTCCACTTTTCCTTTCCTTCCCGCCCTTCTCCCCCACCCCCTTCCTCCAACCCTTTCCCTTTCTCCAATCCATCCTCCCTCCAAAGTGAATTACATATTTGCTGCAGTGATGACAGTGTCGCTGACCTTCAGATCCTGAGGGAAGCCAGTCCATTAACAAACGAGAAGGAATGCTGTAGGATGTTCAGTACATGCAAGTCAGAGTTGATATGCACATTTGCCAGTGTATGTAATGAGACTCCCTCCCCACCTCCCCAATAACGTCCGTGTAAGTTACTGCAATCTCCGAGCATGCGGTGGGCTAATTTTATGCCTTTTATGCAAAGCGTTACTGGAAGGTACATGTACAGTGTACATGTATTGTCAAGTGGGTTTGGATAATGTTCACAGCTTTAATAGTGACCGGAAACATATCAGATCAAAATACACCTCTAGTTCCTGTTTTGAACAGATTATTTACGAAGAGAGCAGTGTGTTTCAAGTAATATCTTAGTCACTTTTTCCTTGTTCGGGAGAAGCGTCCTGTGGTTTAGCCACACACCTTTTATTCCTGAGAATATCATGTCAAACATTGCCACATAAAGACCGCAATGTGCAAAGTGTGCTGCAGATGTTCACAACCGGTGAGGCCTTCCCGGCATTAGAGGAACAATTCATTTTCAGGAAAGTCACTAACTGACGAGTAGGGAAATGACTTGTCCCAGTAATATTTTTGGTCCCCATAGTGTCCTGACATGTACATGTATTTCAACATGTGTACCCATAGCTTGGTAACAGGTACATGTACACGTACATGTACGTGTACACTGCACATGTATTTGTGTACCAAAACGCGTATGTGTATGTGCATGTGTTCTGTAGGTACCGGAAGAACCTACATATTACCATTACATATGATACATGGACATGTACATGTGATATAAAGCATGCACATAGCAGCTGGACAGGTAGGCACACATGTACATGTGTAGATGTGTGTGTGCACTCACTGACAGTTTTCCTTGGCTGAAGGAAAATATGTTTTTCATTTCGGGGGGCGGGGGGATTTGATTCTAATAAGATCTGGCACTGTTTCATTCAAACGCAGGAAAATAACTCTGGAATAGTCGACTGGACTAGACATGCAGAGAGACAGTAGGGTTACCGGTAGATTGTGACTTCTTGAGTTTCCCTGAAACAAGCAGGAACTGCAAAAGCGGAAACGCTCTCTCCACTCAAGGGTGGAATCTGAGCTGAGAGGGTGGGCAGTTGGGAGAGAATGACACCATGAGTGGGTGGTGGATGAGCAGGTAGCGCCCTCTGTTGTCAACATGCGAGCCAAATGACAGAGCCAGATGACATAGTAAAACTCATCCAACTATTGGTCTCATACCACTTGGCGGGCATCACCCTACCTCATCCACTGAACCTGCATGTATTCTACATGCATGTTCTCAGAAAGAGTAAACAAGTATCACGTACAGTGGAGTGTTTCCCACATGCAGTGCTTTGGTGGCTAGGGACATTGTTGCTAGACAACAGAGCGCCTCCCAACACGTTTGCCTTCATTGAACTCAACCCCCATTTTTGTACCCACTGCTTACCATCACCATGCCCTACTGGTGTTCATGTAACTTGGACTGATATATTCCCACAGAGGGATCAATAATATTACATTACAAATGTACGCCTAGGGCGTACGTACTTTTGTTTCAGATGCATGTACCGGCACCGGGAGCTTGGGTCAAGTTGGATCAGCGAGCATTTGTGACCTGCTCTGTAAAAATGAGTCACAAGTCACTGGAGCCACTCTGGAGTTTTACTTTGTAGTTGATTTGAGGAATTTGAAAATGAATGTTGCGAAGATTTCAAAATGGTGAGGATTCCTATTGCTTAAACATTGTGCAAGATTCTTCCAAAGGCCTCTAACCCAAAAGTGGCTATACAGTGTATCTTGGGCACCAGGCAAAATCAGCCTGAGGTTGACAGATAGTCGCTGATCTACATGTAACTTGGTTTCATTTGATATACCGGCACCTCTTATATAGACGTGAGTAATTTGAGATAAGTTGTTATGTCCTTGACCTGGAAGGCCCTAGATTTTCAACCCCCCCCCAAAAAAATTGTCCCTTGCATTTACAAAGACTTGTACCTAAGGCTCAAGCATGGTACATGTAGCTGCTTTTGATTAACCACTTGACGCCAGATCCTTATTTGTTCCTTGTAGGACGGGTACTTTTGTTTAAGAATTCTTTTCATTTTTGTGGTCAGCATACTAGTATTAACGGGTCGTGCTTGGTTGGGTTAAAGTGCGGAAGACAATCCTACAGGGGGACGTTGCTACTTAGACCCATCCCCAGCTACCAGAAGCAATAAAATGGAAATGCCTTTCTTGAGTGATTAGAATTAAATTGGGGAGCCCGCACCTTACAGGAAAGAGCTAAGGGGATTAAAGACCTCCTTTGTTTGGGTAAGCTGATTGGCTTGGGAGCGAAAGCGCACTTACAAAAGAGATGAGGTTACAGCAAGCAACTCGTTTGTATTGAAACAATTGGCAAAGCACACACACATGGCCACCGGTGATGCCTGTATACGCTGCAGACCTTTTGTATGTAAACCGGTCGACATGTGGACACGCGCCACAATATTTACCAGGGCAGTTGAAAAACAGGGAAAAGTTGGAAAATACTGATGCCCTAAACTCAAGAGCAGTTCTTCCCGACATACATGTACATGTATTTTATGGGTGTCATGAAGTTGAAGAATTTTGCAGGAACAAAGACCCCTCCCTAGCAGCTGTTTGGGTAAGAAAATCTGATGTTAACTGGGTAAGAAGTGGTGCAAAGGAGGTTTGGGGGGGAACATGGAGGCTTGATTGAGGATGGAAACAGGGAAAAGGGGGGGGGGAACTATTGCCATTTTCGGACCAGTAAAACCTCAGTGGGATACCAAGAAGCCATCAATCCCAGGGCCTTGTAAATCAGGTCCCCAGTGGAGCAGAGAGGAAAGATCGTTATCAGGCCCAAATTTTCTTGCCAAAGTAGCTCATCCGTTGCCCCCACTGTCGCAATTAAGC